TCCACTCAAGTTCTGTATGATTCCCAGTTTCACCTAGAACCATTTTAGGATCTTGGCTTCTATCTAATTGTTTTTAGATGGTACAACACCTAAAGCTAAGCTACAACTGTGTTTATAAAAAAAATCCTGCAGTTTATTGCTAATTCAATTTTCCACCTCCCATAGAACTTGTGTGTTTCACCCAAGCAGGGAGACAGATCTGGGTTAAAGAGCCTACCATGATTCTTCATTCCAGGAGTCAATTTAAAGATCCACAGTTCCAAGATCACTTCTTTATTAAGTTAGTGCAATCATTTGATGCATAAACTTCCATCAGCTCTGAAGAGACTGGGGAAAAGTTATTGATTACCTTTCATGCAATTCAACACAGCAAGAGGCATACAAATACACACAAACCAAAAACCTAGCATCTTTGACGTCTGAGGGTTCTTTGCTTGTAGCTTACGGAAGCAGCATTCTGCCTGGAAGTGCTCTAAGGAACAACTGGGGTGGAGGAAATCCGCCCATCAAACCTTTGGCTGAACACTTGTAAAATCACAGAATGACCACAGTGATTCTTTCCTTGGAAAGATTAGTTATGGAAAGCTGAAAAGAGGTCACTGTTATTCTGGAATGAAGAACACTTTTCTTGGGAAGGGCAGGGGAGGGGAGAGAAAAGGGAATTCGTATCTTTGACTCAAAATAGAAGCATCTGAGTAAATTAGGGACATCAGAAAAGTTGAGTACCATGCAATTGTTCAGTCTTGCACATTCATGTCTGCCTCTTCCAAATGGTCACGTCCTGGCTCCCCCCCCACCCCCACCCAGGTTGAGCTTCCTTAGCAGAAACAACCTGACATCCAAAGGAGCATCCAACCTCACCCGGTGTTGAGCCTTCCCAGCATTTGCGAGCTTCTTCAAATTCTTTCCTCTTTCTTGCCAAAGCAACTCGGTGACGTACCATGCCAGGGCAAATTCTTAGAAAGCAAGGAGGAGAATTTCCTTCTGCTTTCTGTAGGTTCTGATCGCGCCTGCTGAAATCACAGCTGAGCTACTAGCTTTCCACAAAGCAACTTCGGTGCATTGTTAGGTAAATCCTACCAGGCAAGCTTAAAACTGAAAGGAAGTCTTGTGTTGCAAGATGATGGGGAAACATTTGCAGTTGCCACCCAGGTGACCACAGCTTCCCAAAACTTGCCATTGCTTTCCGTTTGGGTGATTGCCAGGCTTGTGACTCTGTGCATGCCTTTGGAAAGTATAAATCAGAGGGCTGGCAGTGATGAAGTCAGCAATTACCAATTTTCTGAAAGTCCCACCAAGGTTTTCAATGCTCCATAGCTACCAGTTTCTGTCCACATCAGGCAGGTTTGTATATCATACTAATTCACCATGAGCAATAAGCTATGGTCTGCAAAACAAACCATGATGAACCCATGGCCATCTCAGGGGACACTGCAGGAGTAACAAATCATTCCTTCCCTCTCCACTGCAACTGGAGTGGTTTGAGGTTTACTGCAGCTTTTTCATGTAATTATCTTCTTCAGAATATGATCTCCCTTTTTGACAGCCAGTGGCAGTCCCTTCAAAGTGCACCAGTGGCTGCCCAACCTCTTCTGAAAAGATTTTAGGCATTTTAAAAAAATAAGCATAGTAGTACAACTGTGAACCTTCACAATTGTATGACTGTATTTGAATCTTTGGCTGGGGCTGTGTCCAGGAGGGTGTTTGCTGCCAGGGGGCAGCAGTGACCAACTCTGAAATCACCCAAAAGAAGTTCCAAATGGATTTCCCCTCTTCAGTTCCTCTTGACAGTTGTCAGAAGGTGAGCTGTCAAGAGAAACCAAAAGTACAAGTAAATCATTGCTGTGAAACAGCTTTTGTGGGGCAGGAAGAGGAAATTAGGCCTCTTCAGAGCAAGATCCTTAATTCAATCCCCAAATCTTAGCTCCCGCCATGATGCACATTTTGCACTTTGTCCAAAACCTTTAGGTGCTTGTGAAAGTGCAAATGTGCATTATCCACACTCATCTGGTTTTTCCAAGGAAAGGGCTTTTGACAGCTAGCTTTCAAAAATCTGGGTCTCTTTAAAAAGGGGATTTTCATTGAGAAATGGGTGGTTTTGGACCAGAATATGCACAGATATCAAGGTAAAGGGGATTAACTAAGACAGCTCCAGGAAATCAGTGTTTTTGGGAAGTTCACATCGGCCTAAGGTTAGGAACATATGGTCCTCCAGCTGTTACTACCAGTGCCAAATAACCTCTAAAGAACTGCAGGTTCCATTTTCCTGAGATAGTGTGATGTTCTTATCACACTCTTGAGACTAAGCTCTGCAGATGTGCATGTTTCACAGTCCAGAGGCCTCCATCGTGTCCCATTCCCAGATTTACAACTTTGGCATCTCTCGTACCTTGCACTAGCAATTTAAGTCAACCACGGTTTCAAAAAGCAGTCCTTGACCATCCACTGCTTGGAACAGTGCATGCTTTACAATCCCTTTTTCATTTTTAAAAAGCCAGTCCAACTCTAGGAGGTGAAATTACATAAGAATTAGGTAAATTTTTATAACTTTTGCAGGAAATAAGAAAAGCCAGAGAAAGTTCTAAGTAAGCATTTTCCAATACGGAGTGTCACTATCTTGTGCTGATTCATCCTGAGGCAGTTCAGAACATGCCGCTCCAATTGGCAATGATGTTCTGCATAATAATTTGGACCCAGTCACTGCTTTCTTATGAAGCCAAACAGGAAGGCAATGTGATTCAAGGCCCAAGAGCAACATGTTTTTGCGATCTGCCCTTAAATGCTTCATCAAAGCCAACCAGGGAAAAGGATGTCCACTGCATCGCATTCAAATCACAATTCCCGTCAAACCTTCTCATCTGAGCTGCACGTCATCAGGGACCCATTTGCAGGGACTGGCCAGTCTTTTCAGGCTAGCTGCCTACTGGCTGGCTGGCTGCTGTAGATACGGGATGTTGCCATGTTCCAGCTAAACAAACACTCTGCAGTCCGAGTGGAAACTCAAGAGTTCATGGTTTTTCTCTGTCATCTTCTTGGTTCATCTCAGGTAATTCCAAGAGGGAAGGCAAAAGGATTTTTTCTGTTCTGTATTTCTGTCAGGGGGTCTGTCACATTTACGCCCATAGTGCTTCAGACGCTGAGTATGTCAGGAAGGTTTTTTCTTTTACTGTTTTCAGTAAAATGTACAAGAGATACTGGATGTTCTGAACAAATTGACCTTAGAGGAGTATCTGCAAATTTCATTCCAGTGTGACTGGTAAAACAATCATGTCCCACTGAAGAATTACAGAGAGTTTATTCACTCCACTTATGATCCTAAGGATTCCCCCCTTCCTTCTGGGGCACCAGTAATGACAAATGGGATAGAGCAGACTCAGCTCCAATAACATTTCCTTTTCAGACACTTTGGCTATTTCATGGAAGTGGCAGGAGACAAGGGGAAGGGTGTGCACGAGTGATTTGCACATCATCTTTCCATGCTTTTGGTTTATGTCCAGCTCAATGAATTAACATCTCAGCTGTGATGAATGTGCTGAGGTTCTGGAGTAACATTAAGCTTAGGCCTGGACTACACATGCAGCAGTATTAAGTAGGATTTACGTGGCAGAAGGGACTACACAACACAGGTAGAGGGATCACTCTTTGAAATACTCCTCTACATAAGAGCCCCCTGTGACCAGCACAGCCTGAAGCAAGCAGCACTATATGAAACCTCTGGCATGTGTTGATCAGACTTTCTCCTCAGTCTCATGCCATAAGCCACTCAGTTCTAAGACACCTTGTGCAAAGGTTCAAATAGAAGGTGTCTTGTTCAGACTATGTAGGCGTTTGTTTCTGTCATTTCCTCACCGGAGAAATCCTCCCCTATGGAAAGCCTGGAATTCCCAAAAACAGGCAATGCCAAGAAGCCACCCATGTCAAAAGATCTGGGGGTGTCTGGGCGCTCGGGAGAAGAGGAGGTATTCTTCCTCTGAAGCAGAGTCTTGGTAGCCACCTTGCCCTCCAAGGACACCAGCATCTCAAGAGTAGGCCAATAAAGCTCCTTTGAGAAGTGGTTGATTACAAAGGAGGACTCCTCGGGAGCATGGCTCTCCTCTGGAGTATGACTTTTGCTAGAAGGTTTTAATGCACGGCAGCTGAGTGGGGCTCAGAAAACTCTGGCTTCTGTTTTCACCTAGCTCTGCTAGAACAACATTATTTTCAGCTCCGATGCTTTGTTTTCTGGTCCTTGTGAATGACTTCTGTGCTACTGGTCTTTGGGCCTCCTTGACTCTGCTTCTGGACTGCGTACTGTATCTCATATTTTAAGTGTTTTGACATTTGCTTGACCATTCCATTATGAAGCTCACTGCAAGTTATCAGCCCACTCCGAGCAGCCAGTGTGTGACCACCTTTTCCAAAGAGCCATTTAAAATAGCAAAGCAAATTTTCTGATGCTTGTTCAAATTTAAAGTTTTTATTTAAAACTTATTTTAATTGTTAAATTATTTGAATTAATAGGATTTTAAATTTTTAGCCAAGAATGCATCGGGGGTTTTTAAACAATTTTTTAAAATTGTTATATTGTTATTATTTATGTATTTATGTATCCTTTGTGAGCCGCCCCGAGGCTTTGTTGCGATGGGGGTGGCATAGAAATGTTTTAAATAAATAAATAAATTCTGCACCATGAAAAGTTGAGTTTTACAACTTTTACATATTTGCTTACTCTGCACCCATTATTCTGGTTTGGCAAGTCATAGGATTAAAAAGTGCTATGTAAGGCACTAAAGACCACCCAGTTCTGATCCCCTGAAACATGCTTGCCATGGCTACTATAACCTCTAGGTTTTCAACAGGCATTGCCTCCTTTCAAAGCCTATTTTTGTAAGAACTAGAAATTTGTTGAGGCTCAAAAAAAATTGAATGTTGTGCCCAGTGTCAAACTACATTTGGGAAGTCTGATCACAAATCTAGAAAACAGTAAACAACATTTGACCTAAATTAACTCACGATATGAATTTGTGGGAGACAGCAAAGTGAATTTATTTTTCTGTATTTATAAAAATTTTGATTTACAAAAGTAATATAAAGTCAAGGAAATACGAGTTTTGGGGATTTGATTATAATATACTCTCATGAATATCAGCCTCTTCACAAAAACAGTGTTATGGAATATGGAGTTTTTTACATTATAAAATTCTCATAATGATTTGAGAAACTGCTCTGAAAACATAATTTAACAAAGAAGAATTTGCAAGCACTGCAAAAAAGATTTCATTGCTTGGGTGGGCAAGTTTTTTTATAATAATGTTTGATGATGCAACTGATAGATGGAGGAATATTTGTTAAACAAGACAAACCAAAGAAGAAAACATTTACAAATATTAACAATCATGCAAACAGCTGTTGCCAGTGCTGATATGGTGATGCTGGTTGAAAGGAAAGAACACCAACAATCCTTGGTAAAGTCTGGAGAAGCAACTATGCTGGGTCCAAGCTTGCACAGGCATTCTTAAGGTGAATTGAAGGCCACCTCTCTGTCCTGTCCACTTCTCCCATCACTTCAGTGCCTGCTTCTGTGCCGCATGTATGTGCGGTTGGCAGGTTTGGAACATGGCAGCTTTGGAACATAGCAAGTGGGTTTGCTTGGTATATTAAGCAATGGTATATTATAAACCACAGGGGTTCAAGCATGTTGTTTGAACTCATCACTCCACCTGTAGGGTGGTAGCATTTAATAAACGAACTGTGGCTTATTGTGCTGTCTGAACCTAGACAACAAAATAAACCATGGTCAAGAACAAAAGAAAGGCTTGCTACTCTAGCCAAGGGCTAGCAGGCAACTGCCTTTCCCAGGTACCCCAAACTGTGAAGGCAGCTCTTGGGGACAGCTGGGAAAGACCTCTCCACCTCCTGTCAGCAGCAGGTAGGTGCTTCAAACTTGCGGTAGGGGAGACAGGTTTTCCCACTGAATCACACTCTTTGTACCTTCCCGCCCATGAAGTTTCCCTTCAGGTTTTGTCATTTCCCAAGGCGCTACACATTTGGGGCAAACTACAAAACTGATGGGAGAGTTTGCGCTTTTTAGCACCCCCCAAAACCCGGAAGATCCTGCTTGGAAAGAAAGCAATTGAGGAGGTTTCCCATATTGTTTTTTTTTTTTTTTTTTTTTTAACAGATTCTTGGGAATCAGTATTATCCACGCTTGGTAAAGTGGGGGCAGTTTAGGGCCACATGAGTATCACCAAAACAAACCCTGGGAACTCTTTTGCAAACTCCCACCTTTTAAGAAAAATGATTAAAAAACAGCTGGCAGTGAGTTATAAAGTTGCAATTTGGTATGCATCCAGGTAGACTTGTGAAACTGTAACTTTGTGCTATTTTTTTAAAGGTGGGTTGTGCACAAAGCCCTCTTTGCAGCAGAATTCCCAGCTTTTGGGGGATATATTCATGTTGTCTTAGGCTGTCCTCATTTTTCCAAGTGTGGCAACACAGAGGTACTTCTTAAAAAGTCAAGATATGGCCAGTGTTAGACGGCTCGTCATGTCTCAGGAGGCATTTGTGTGCTCCTTCAGCGTCTCCTGGGATACTGCAGAAGAATGGGAGGAGGGGAGTGGGCAAAAGGAGGAAGCAGGAGGAAGCCCATTACCCTCTGCTGTGTCTGATATTCCGCCAGGTGCAGACGAATTTTAACCACAGCGCAGCATCAGCATTCTAACGGGTTTCTCATGTCCCACGAACCCTCTCAGTCTGTTCGCCGTTACCCAACCTTTAGAAATGTCCTCTCAGGGTTCTGTTCTTGCCTATAGCACAGTCCATGAGATATTCACAAGGCAGCAATGGCTTTGGCAGCCACCCTACGGCCCAAAGGCAAGCTGAGGTCTGTGATGGCCAGGACGATTTTGGGACTAGACATGGTGGATGCTTTCACCAACTCCGAGACCTGCACAGAAGTAAAAAAGCAGAAAGAGGTTAAAGTGGTAAGCAATAGCAGAGTTCTCACAGAATATCATCCTGCTGGAACTCTCAAATTTTAAAAAGCACCTTAGAATTCTTCAGAAAATTCTTCAGATACTCTTATCGCAAAGACCAGATCATCTCCCTTTCTCAGCTGTTTCTCTATCAGTATGATTTGAGATGGCGAACCTGGTGCAGCCTGGCTCCAGCTGGCTCCTACTGAGCAGTCTCTCCCCTCCTCCACTGAGGAAGAGGTGTGGAATTGGCAGCGAGAGCACAGCTGGCCCCGCACTGGTCCGTAGCATGCGGGATGCAGCTGTCATGTGCGCACACAACAGTGGCTCTTTCACAGACCAGCAGGAAATGCCAGCAGACCGGCAGTTGAAAACCACTGGGCTAGAGGACAGCAAAGGCAGGGAAGGAGTTCCACTGAAAAATTACCCCTCCCTTCCTAGAGGACAGTAGTATTGATAGTACTGGCAGATATCCATGATAGCAACCATGACCATTGGGTGAACAAAAAGGGAGGAAAGCCTTTACCCAGGTCATGTTACAAAGGGATGCAGCTCTATAAGCCAAAAATTCTGTTAGAAAACTACTCTGAATGGATCTTGTGGGGGAACCAGATCCCTGAAAAAGAATGATAGAAACTGTCAACAACAGAAAAATGGGGGTTGCTCACCATGGTGAAAGGCATAAATTGCAGGATGCTGCCACGGCTTCCCTGCTCCAAGCAGTCTACACACTCCTCCATGAACCACTGGACGAACTGGGTATGTGTTCCAGCTGTCTTGGATCCCAGGATAGAGGAAATCAGTAGGAAAAGATTGGCTGGAGAGCAGAATAGGGAAAAAATAAGTACAGCCTCCTAATTTGGAGCAGGGGAAGGGAAGAGGAGAACAGCTGAAAAACTATTTCAAAACACTTCCAGTTATAACAACAGAAATTAATATTTCTATATTCAAAATGTTACAAATGTATTCTTTCAGTAGTTCTTACAGGAGTCTTTACAAGGTATTAAAATCCCTGTACTGCAGTTGGGATAGATGATGTCTTGAACAGGGCTATAACTATGATTTTATGGCAGGGCCAAGATATAAATCAAGAACTTCCTGGCTCACAGCTGAATCTCATGCAAATGGATCTATGTTCTCATAAGTATATGAATGGCATTCATTCCTTAGTAAGGCGGCAGTTCTATGGATTGTGTCCTAGATGCATGTAAGCCCTCAACCTCAGAGGCCTACAAGCATCTGATACAGTGGAAAGAGCTGTCTCTCCTCACACCTTCCAGTCTGCTTTGCAGCTAGATGGCAGTAAATGGAAGTTTAGTTGAGCTGTTTCAGATGGGGAGCAAAGGAGGCTGAAGTGCTGCCAGGATACCTTGCACCCTGATGGCCTCAGCCTCTTCCCCTCCTGTGCCCTTGAACACACTGTTTTCCCCCTTGCAAGGCTGATTTCCCAACTTCAGAGGAGCAGCTGGCATGGCTCTTTCTGCATTGGCTGTGCAGTGAGGGGTACCAGAGTGTAGATCCCCAGGTCAGAGTTCTGCCTTCAGTGCTGGAACTGAAAATCCAAAATCTCCTTTCTGGGAGGCCATAGCCTCACTCTCTCTAAAGATGCTTAAGAGTGCGCTCTTTGCCACTAGACCACACTATGTACTGCTACACCATCTAGTGTTATATTTTAGATAGCAGCATAGTCCTGAAAGTTTCTAGGCACCCAGTTCAAACTTTTTAGGCACTGGGTATTTTCTATGAGTGGAATCTGTCCCTGTTGGGTGCAGGAAAGGTATGTTATTACAAAATACCCCCACTTTTTGTCATGCTAGGAATAATAGCCTGAACATGGAAAGAGAGGCTCTATTTCAGTTCTGGCAGAGACAAAGAAAATTCCAATCTTTATTGGGGTTCAGCTAGGGTATACCGGAAATAAGGATTCTGTATGGGATCTTTTGCAAACATCCTTCTGGTGGATCTGCTGTCTCCAAACTTAATTTCTGCCCCCCTGTACCCCTCTCTGAATATTGCTTACAAAACTGTAAATCTTGTCCAGGAGCTTGTTAATGTAGTGACCACCAAGTAACATTCAGCAATATATTAATCTCTGTCTTTCTGTAAAAGCCAGGAGGAAGGAATATTATCAGTCACTTTTTTGACATCCTTCAATTATTAAAATTGAATGGGGGGATATAAGCCACTAGGAACCTTTCTCCTAGAAAAGAACCTCACTCCTTGTACAAGAGGAATCTTATGCCACCCCTTTGCAATTTTATTCTGTCTTCTTCCATTCCAGAAAAGGTTGTTGTTGTTGTTGTTAATCGTGAAGTTGTGTCCGACCCATCGCGACCCCATGGACAACATTCCTCCAGGCCTTCCTGTCCTCCACCATTTCCCGGAGTCCACCCAAGCTCACACCAACTGCTTCAGTGGCTCCATCTAGCCACCTCATCCTCTGCCGTCCCCTTCTTCTTTTGTCATCTATTGTTCCCAACATTAAGCTCTTCTCCAGGGAGTCCTTCCTTCTCATTAGGTGGCCAAAGTATTTGAGTTTCATCTTCACTATCTGGCCTTCTAAAGAGCAGTCAGGGTTGATCTCCTCTAGCACTGACCAGTTTGAGTGCCTTGCGGTCCAAGGGACTCACAGGAGTCTCCTCCAGCACCACAATTTAAAGGCCTCAATCCTTTGGCGCTCAGTCTTCCTTATGGTCCAGCTTTCACAGCCATACATTGCAACTGGGAAAACCATAGCCTTGACTATACACACTTTTGTTGGCAGGGTGATGTCTCTGCTTTTCAGTATGCTGTCTAGATTTGCCATAGCTTTCCTCCCCAGGAGCAAGCGTCTTTTAATTTCTTGGCTGCAGTCCCGTCTGCAGTGATCTTGGAGCCCAGGAAAATAAAATCTGCCACTACCTCCATTTCTTCCCCATCTATTTGCCAGGAAGTGAGAGGACTGGATGCCATGATCTTAGTTTTCTTAGTGTTGAGTTTCAAGCCAACTTCTGTGCTCTCCTCCTTCACCTGCATCAAGAGGCTCTTTAGTTCCTCTTCACTTTCTGCCATGAGAGTGGTATCATCTGCATATCTGAGGTTGTTGATATTTCTCCCGGCAATCTTAATTCCAACTGGTGATTCATCTAGCCCCACCTTTCTCATGATATGCTCTGCATATAAGTTACCCATAGCTTTTAATGTAGCATACCTAATTCAGCAAAGTAACTCTTCGCTTTAACTGCTATGCTTCCCTCAATAAGGCTCATCAGCCAGCCAAAATTCTTTTTTCTGTTTTTCTAAAATCCTGCAAGCCTTCTTCTACCTTTCAGCAAGCTCTGTTAACTCTTTCCAACTTAGTCAAAGATCTTTCTTCTTCCTGACCTCCACCTCATTACTTTGCCCTCATCAAAACCAGAGCACCTAGGCTCCTTGACCCTGAAACTCTTTGATGCCCCTTTATCTTGGAACCTTCCTACTAAGTTAGTCTCCTTCCTACTGAAACTTTTCTGGGAAATTCTCCCGCTAAACTCCTTTTTGTAAAAGAACAACAAGAAAAAACATAGACTCTCAAGTAAAGCATACCTTCCATGTTTGTATTGTTACATGCTTGTTTAATACTTGATCCATGATACTTTGGGCTTGTATTTAACCACTTTAAAAAGGCCAGCTTTATTGAATACCTCAGATAAACTGTGTACCATTTCAACATATTTAAGGCGTGAATCTGTCAGAGTAATTTCTCCAGAACTAATCTCACTGTGGTTTTGGATCTCCATGATAGTCAACCACAGCACACAAACAAGTTTTCTATGTATTTGGTTGGATTTTTTTACGTGTTGCTTTGCACTATGGACTTTTAAATGCCTGTCATCATTTGACATGGTCAAATACAAATTCATTTTAAGGTTTTGAAAATTATTTTATTCTCTAATTCCTTCCTAATAAGCAAGAGTATTTCTTGATGTTCAAGGTCTATGTTTATGGTATCTAACTTTCCAAGTGCCAGGTTTTCAGCAGTGCTCAGGACTCAACATTAAAAGATCCTTAAATGTGACAAGATTGTATATGAGCAAGGAGCACACTTGTATGTTAGCCCAGAGCATTCCCTTTTTTTGGTTTCAAAGTTTTATTGTTTTCCAGAGCATTCCTGATACTGCTCTGAAAGCTGAACTGTGACCCTAGCAACCAGAATTTCTACACATGGTCCAGTTACAGAAGTTAATACTGAAGAGGAAGGCCCTGCCTGAGGCCACACTATTGAATATGGTAGTTCCTTGCCTCATAAATCCTGCTGCAGATCAAACTGTTCAACAATTTCTGCTGACAGAACAGCAGTCTCTTTGAACCATTCTTCTTTATTTACAATTCCAGGACCAAATAGAAACATTCAAAAACAGGTTTCACAACCAAGTCCTTCATAAAACTAAGTCCAGACTAATTCAGCCAAGTTTCAGACAAGTTAAGTGGAGTTCTGACCTTGTTCTGGAAGTTTCTCCACAGCCTAGCTAGGACAAAAGTGGCTTACCTAAGACTCTGTTGAGAGGATCTCTCATGCTGACTGTATGGAGTTGTGAGGCAGACAATGAGCTGCTCATGGTACGGTCTGCTGAAGGAAGAGAAATATCTTATTTTAGTGACAAGTAACACAGTATGGAAAATGAATGCCCTCAGTCCCAAATAGCAAACACCTTTCAACCATACCTTAATTTACCATCATCACTTGTACAGCCCGTGATGGCAAAAAGCAGAGGGTAGAGGAATTTTGCATTGCCAGTTTTGGCCAAGTTAATTTATGTGGACTGTCACCCCCATGATATGAATATTCATTATACTACTTCTCCATTTACTTTCCAGCCTTGCAACCCACATGTATTTCCTTGTTTAAAAAACAACAGTAGTCACACAAATTTTCCAGACATTTAAACAAAAACCTTTGGAGGTGACAGAACTAGATTGAGTGCATGAGGTGCCCTCCAAGGTAGTAATTATCACTCCATCCTTGTCAGAGTAGTTTCCTTGACAGTTTTCTGACAGCTGTCAGGGGACTGCAGTAAGTGCCTATAAAAATGGTGTGATCTTAACTTCTCCTTTTCTGGGCTAGCCAGAGACTGCTAGCTGCTCAAGAAGTGTCCCAAAGGTGGATCGCACTGAAAGTGTCACTTCAGCACTTAAAATCCACAGGATTACCTTGTTCAGAGGGAGATCTATGGCCCACCTGTATGGCGTACTTATCTTCCAGATTTTTTTTCTTTTTTGCAGGTGAGTTCCAGTTGACAGCAAGGCACTTGGCACTTGACAGTAGTCAACAGCCTGCATTTTAACCTATATGCATTGTCACCTTGTCACTCTGTGACTATTTGACAGCTGTAATTGACAAGGGAATATATCAAGTAAAACTGCATGTATCAGAAAGGCAAAAGAGCATGCTCACACAATTCTGAAAAATCAGCAAAAATTAAATTTACTAAGAAATGAAGACTCTGAACACATTTCAGAGACTGAAAAAAGAAATAATTGAAAATATACCACCTCTGCACTTTCTGAAGCCCCCAGAAAGAAGAAAACCTGGGCTAGGAACTAAAAAAAGGACTTGGATGGAGCTGGGACATGGGGAAGGCAAGATGGATCCTGTTGTGAAAAATACTGGGATAATGGCTGGAGGACTGAGTGTGGGGTAAGTCCAATCACTTGCCAGGCACCCTGTGGGTAATTCCACGAACAACTCACACTACACAGCTTATTTACTGGTTCACTGCCATATTGTGCAAACCTGCCCATTCTGCCCAGTGTTGGAATGGAATTACCCTGAGAGCAGATCTGGGTACAATGACCCTGGAGGAAAAAGGAAGTTAAATTCCAACATTCCCCTGCTATGATTCACACCTGATTCAAGGATCAAATTTCTTCCCCCTCCCCACACCTAATTTTGCCTGCTTTCTTTTGTCTTCTTGTCATAAATCATCTTGTGCGTAAATCAAAGTCGAGAGGAAATAGAATTGCCAACTCACTGGTGTAACAGAAGAAATTAGGAGGTGAAGACTCCCACGTTGCACTGCTGTGAGTAAAAGTGAAATCACTAAAAAGCTAATGATGTATAAGGAAATCCCAAGGACACACACCTTGAGAACCATGGAAAAGACCAAGACTCTGAGTCACTGGACAAGAATCCAAGGCAATGAACAGTGATGTTTGTGTGTTTGTTTCACTTTTGCTTTTTTAATATGATAAGGCCAAGTTATAAGCTGCTTCAAAAACAGTGTTATGCCTGTTCATACCAGAAGATTATTTGGAGGGGAAGAAGGGAACTTTTACTCTGACTTATGGTAATTGTTCTTGGAATTGCCATGTTGTTATTGTTGTTACGTGCTGTCAAATCACCTTCAACTTATGGCAACCCAACAAATGAAAGCTCTCCAAATTATGATCGCCATATTACTCAGTAACTATGTGCAGCTGCTAGATGAAGTCGTCTAGAGCCGAAACATCATCAATACATGGAAGACACTCAGCTCTATTTCTCTTTTTCATCAGAACACAGCAAGGAGGTGGACATTTTGCACAAGTGCCTGGAATTGGTTATGATGCCTAATGAACCTGAGGTCAACCTGGATAAGGTGAAGGCAGTCTTGGTGAAGGTGCATGGAAAATGGTATTCCAGTTGGCATTATATCCTCACTAAAGATTAAGTCTGCAGCTTGGGGTGCTATTAGATCTGGCCTTTACTCTGAACACCTGGGAGGCATCTCTCACTCAGTGTGCCTTTTACCAGCTATGCCAGTTACAGTCCGTTACCTAAAACCTGGTAACATCGACATCTGGTTAATATACCAAGTTGTATATAGGAGTGACCCAAAAAAGATTTTGGAACATGAAGTTCGTTCAAAATAAGGGAGCCAATTTGTTAACCAGCATTGATTGTTCAGAACATAAATCTTGTCAGAATTAAAAGATCTTCACTGGCATCCAGTTTGTTTCTGGGACATCTCCCACTGTTTATACTTATTTATTTATTCACTTAGAAGAATCATAGATTACTGTAAATAACCCTATTCATTTAAGTACAATGGCAACATACTTAATCTTTTAAAATATTTAAAATTTAATTTTAATATTCATAAGAAGAAAAGATAACTTATTGTTTGGCACACTTCTTTTTAAAAAAGGTAGAGTGCATTTTGCAAGGTTAGAGCAGAATAACCTCCAAGAATGACCAACCCCTTTCAGGGAACTAGTTAGGACCCACTTTAATTGCAAGGTAGTTTCCTCACCGTGATTCCACTTACTGGGGCTGGACAGGATGCTGGTGTCATCCTCATTGGAGCTGAGCAAGCGCATGAGTTTGGATGGTTGGGTATCATCCAGTGGGAAAAGACTGATGTAATCCTGGAAGAGACAGCAAAAGTGCAGCAAGAGCAAATTTTATATCTACTGATAAATGCAACACAAGCTTATGTGTAAGAAAGGCATTCTGGGCTTCATTCACGTAAGGACTTGTACTCCAAACCTACATGACCCCTTTCTCATCTTCTCTCCTCAAGCAGTCTACTTAGGGATGATTCATATACTCCACTTCTAATCCTCACTCTTTTTAAAAGAAGAGAAATTAATAGGAAGTAAATTGAAGTAAACATCTAGGCAGCCATAGTTTGTACCAATTGAAGCACTGATACTATCTCCAAAAGCAATCCCACTTAACATGCACTGTAATAGTCAAGTCGGGATGCAACTAATATTCAGGTAACTGAAGCTGGGTCTGATCACTCTGATCATTTTCTGGTATTGATGGCACCCAACATTCCAACACATCTAAGAAAATCCTCAGGCAACAAACTTGGTGCTTTAGGGGAATGTGACATCACCCACAATTGGTTGCATACTATCTTCCAGACCAACCATCCAGCTGTCCAAGTTTCATCAACAAAATGTCAATGTTTGAAAAGAATTGTGCACACATGTTTGTCAAGCATCTGCATAAATTTAGCAACAGGGTGAGAAGGCCACAGCTGATTACTTTTCCCAGTCTTCTGCTAACAAATAACACTGCTTTCAGGTAAACCAGCCCAATAATAACTCTGAGAACAGCAATAATGGCAGAATGCCAGAAGTAAGGGGGCTATTTAGTGTGTTACACTGTGTGACATATGCAAGATGATCTGCCTGCTGGACAGGAGTTGTGCATATGTACTTGGTATAAAGAGATCAAAGCCCTTAGGAAGTGAATTGGTTCTCTTGATGCTGAAGCTGCTGAGCTGGATAATCTGCACAAGGCAGAGAGGTTTGTGGATCGGTCCTTTGGGGATATGAGAACAACATCACATTCCTAGGATGTCAGCTCCTAGAAAGTAAGGGTCCCAGAGAAGGAGGGCATGCCACAAAGGAAGAGGAGAAAGGTCCCTTAGAAAGGATTCACTCCTTGAAGGAGGAACAGATATTCTGAGACATTAAAGACATGCCTATGGGGGTTGGGGGGTGCCTGTGGTAGAAACTTCAGTCAGCTGACTTCGTGATGAGTATGCAGACCACATGGTGCACTCCATGTCTAGCACAAAGGTATAGATTTCACATGGCAACTGATAGATAGCACTGGGGTAGAATCAGCAGTTCTGGGACATATAATTACTAGTGATGCACAAAAGCGTGATGCACTGGAAGCCAAATTTTGGTTGGCAGGTAGGAGGTGAAAAGCAAAGACTTCCATGGTAGATTTCTCTGAAATGCGGCCTGTTCCACGCGAAGAGCATGTCAGACAGGTAAAGCTGAAGCATCTCAAGGCATGCATTGGACAATGGGGTAGTGGGAGGAATTTAGATTTGTTAGGCACTGAGAATCATTTGGGAACCAGCTAGGTCTGTACAAAAATGACAAATTCTGCTTGAACCAGAATGTAACCAGATTATTGATGCTTAATATAAAAAAGGTCATTTTTAAACTAAACTCTGGGTAAAAGGTAACATGAGCTGAGGGTAAGGCAAACTGTGGTAAGAAAGAATAAAATTCTAGACCTTGTTGAAAAATGGAAAACAAACAAATCACCAGATCCAGATGGCATCCATCCCAGAGTTCTTGAGTAATTCAAATAGGAAAGTGCCGATATTTCTACAAAAATATGCAAATCGCTAAGATTCGCTTTTTTTATCAGAGAACTGGAAAGTGGCCAACATAATGCCAGTTTTTAAAAAGTTATCCACAGGGGATCCAGGTAATTACAGGCTGATCAGCTAAGTGTCAGTTTCTAAATAAACTGATGGAAAACATTTAAATTAGCAAGCTTATAGAAGGAAAAGGTTTGTTCAATGAGAATCAGCATAGACACTCTGCAAAGGTAAGTCACTATCAACAGGTATTAGATGTGAGAGCTATATGCTACTTGTATCAGGTGCTTGGCAGACACACGTGGGAGTGTGTTTCCACATTCACACCTGGCCTGTGGACTTCCCATAGGTACTGGATTGATTGTGGACAGAGAATGCTGGACTAGATAGCACTTCGATCTGATCTTTCATAGCTCTCCTTATGTTCTGATGACCAGCGTTCTACTGTATCTGGGTTAGGTTTCTGCTTGTTCACCCTCCTCCATCCCCAAACCACCTCCATCCACCAGTTCATGAATTCCAAAGGGTTTTGCACATATGAAGGAAAGGCAGAGCTGCATGGCATCCCCCTATCAGTGACAACATAGCCCACCCCTCTAGATTTCCTGACCCAGCAGTTCCATACAAATGTTAGATATTATGGTGAATGACATGGAACTCTGAAGAATTCTATAAGTCAAAGACCATGAAGTAGAACAGAAATCTCTTAACATCACCTTTTGGGATTAGATCTCCAGAAACTGTTTACTAGTAATAGTAATGACTTTTGACATATCAAACAGTGAAGAGCCAAATATGAGTTGCACAGGTATCTCAAATATAGCCAATAGAAGCCCCGTTAGCAATGGCTTCACAAAAGATACAAACCTTGAGCCTTCAGACAAATAGGTAAATCTTATGTCAGAAAGAGACTTTGACATGGCTTCATTCATTGTGATTCTGCACAAGCACTGTGCCCAGGCAGAATGCATTACCTTTCAGAATGCAGTGTTCTTTTAAAAAATCCTCTCATTTAAAAAAAGACAGCAAGTTTCTAGTCCTTATGGCTTGAAAGTAAAATAGCTGGCCTGTTGAGATCTCAGACAGAAGATTAGAGGTGGGTGGCACTTTTGTGATCAGGTGCGTTAATAGTTGTTTATTCCCAAAAGAAAACAGACACAAACTGAATTGTGTGTATACATGTGTGTGTAGACAGTTTGCATAATTTGTTACTTATTAGTCATTATTACTTATTAGTCATGCAAAATGCATCTTCGTATCTGCTGCGTGCAAATCATGCATATCACCACCATCCGAAGCCCTGGGCTGAGCAACAACATGACACTTTCAGATCTTTTTGTAAAAGGATTAGACAAATGCAGGAAGGATAGCTCTGTCAATGACTATTAGTCATGCCAGTTAAATAGAACCCCCATGTAGGAAGGCATTGTATTTCAATACCAAATGACTCTAGAGACAAGCAGTGGAGAAAGTTGCCAGTTCCAGGCTTTGCTTGTGAACTTCTCAGAGGCATCTGATTGGCTATTGGTAGACACTAGACCTGATCTAGCAAGGGAATTCTTATACTATTAAAACTTATGACAAGATAGCACCTTTTGCACAATTTCACTCTAAGCTTAACCACAGCAAGTATCACATATACATGCTGTATCTTTTGACAGCATAAAGAGATCAGAATGATCAACCAACTTCCAGATGTTTTTATGAAGCTGCCATCAGCAAGCATAAAGTGTCACTATCACCAGCATCTCTCCCCCACCAAGTCATTTCCATCACCTCTTTAAATTCACATTCCAAAGCAGGCCACATTCCAGTGTGGTCTGCTTTCCTTTTCCCCACATCCTTGCAGAGTGCAAACATGAGAGTAGCAGGGTACCTCTATGTCTTCTCGATGTCTTTTGCGCTGCCAGGCAGATACCTGTCCTTTGTTGTGGGAGGAGTAGGAGCTGGAAGCACACCACACAGACAACCTGAGGGGAAGACAGCAGGAATGTCAGCCCTGAGTGTTGAAATGTGAATTACACCAAACCATCTTGCTTTTTCCTAAGAGGTTAGGTCCCCTGACATTCCCCAACTGAATAAGGAAAAAATGGAATCCCTTATCACATTTATAGAAAGCTAGTGATGCTGGAATGGCTCCCTAATTTTGCATTAATTCATGCATTTTCTTTTCAACCTGATATCTTAATCCAGTTGTCATTGGTACTCCAAGAATCAAAAATGTGATCCTGGGCATTACAAAAGGGTTGTAATGGGGAAAAGAGCACCACCACCACCCCATACTGATGGCTCTCAGAAAGAAGATGGATTTTAGGCAGGCATGCAAAACTCTTTCAGCCCGAGGCCAGATTCAGTTTTGGAGCAGCTCTCTTGGCTATGTTGCAGTTTCAGCTTAAAGCACTGACTGCCTGTAACTACATTTTAGGAGAAACATCCAATCCTTTTAGAATGAACAAAAGCTGGGATACCACAGGGGTAGAAGCAGGGGAAGGGATGTGGCTCTCTGGAGAATGCCAGAGGGCTGGATTTGGTCCCTGGGCCTGAGATTTTGCACTCTGGCCCATGGCTTACTAAGTTAGCATGGGGAGCACTGACAACTAGGCATGGGCTAGAAATAGGGTCACCTTAGTTCTTTAATAGGTACTGATGGGTTTGCTGGTGGTGCATGCTAGAGTATGGTCTTGAAGAGCGGTTGGGGTTTGCTCTCCTAAGCAACTAACCTTAACCCTAGCAGGATTCTGGCAGCTGACTGGAAGGCAGAAGGACTTGTGTGTTTCAGTCCCAGACTTTGCCCCTAACAAGACGTGCAATTCTTGTAATTTTTTAAAATATTCCTATCTCTGTAACCTTCCATTTAACACCCAGGTAACCTATATTTGGCCCTAAGCAGAATGCTCTTATTTGAAAAAAGAACGCAACCTCTAGCTGTCATAGCCTGAAAGGGTATGGGCAAACCCTGAGAGAGGAACTAAGCAGAATTTTCAGGGAGGCGGGGTATGCGTAAGTGAGGGGAGAGGGAGACACATTTTCCATGCTCAGGAAAATGTTTCGTTATCCCCATCCCATGACAACCAGAAATGGAAGAAACAAGGTGATAATTTCTTTTTTAAAAGAATACATCTATGTGCTTAGTTTACACTGAATTTTAACCTTTTTGGTGCAGAATCTGAATTCATTAGTGCCTGCATCTGTCTCTTACTTGGCGAGAGCCTTGCCTGGTGGATCCATTAGCATATGCCACTTGGAGGAATCTGTGAGCAGATTGGGTAGGATGTGTCCCAGGAGGGTAAGTGTCAGCTGTTGCATATCCAGGCAGAAAATGGAGTAAAGCAACTCTACCGCCCGCATTGCGTGCTCTTTCCTTGTTTCTTTCAGGAGCTCCTAAAAGGGAAGAGAGACCAATGGATGCAACAGGACAGAGAAGCAAGGGAAACATTTAATGTTATAATTATTTTTTAACTTATTGTTGTAAGCCGCCCCGAGGCTTCGGCGAATGGGGCGGCATAAAAATGTTTTAACAAATAAATAAATAATAAAAAATGTCTTCCATCCGTCCTTCCTTTCCCAATGCCTAAAGCCCTCTGGGTGCTGCTTGCTCCACAGTGTCATGTGCAAATTTTGAGTATTTAAGAAAAACACCAGATCTTTTTGAAATCAAAGCTATCCCACTGATTATAGTATTTATAATCCATGTTCTCTGCTGAAGTACTGCAGCCACAATCATTTTCAGAAAGTTTATACACAATTTTTAATTCCCCAACAGCTTAAAGTCTTGATTTAGTTCCCATTCTAGTTAGTGTTCTACATACATTAACTGTACTGAGACTATGACATCTCATGGACAGCCACGATGGATCAGCTGGCTAACCAGCTGCCTATGGGAAGTCCATAAAGGGAATGTGCGCATTAATAGCTCCTTCCTGCTCATGTTTCCCAGCAACCAGCAATCAGAGGCATACTGCCTCTGGTACTGCAGGTTAATTACAGCCATCATGAGCAGTAGCCAGTGACAGCCTCTATAAATCTGCCTATTTCCCTTTTAAAACCATCCAAGTTGGCAATTAATATCCACTTCTCAATACCTTGACAAGATTGTTGCAGAACCAGTAGACCCCTCCCATGTGCAGAAGAGTGTCAAAGATGTGGATGGAGCGACTGTCCACCCAGCCTTTCTCTAGCACCTTGGAGAAGACATCCATCAGCACCTCTTTGATGGGCTTCTTGGCAGGGAGGAGGTTCCAGTAGGGCATGGGGTCCATTCCCGTGGCTGGGAACTTGATCGAAGCCGCTGTCTGCTGCACAACATCAGCACACATATGCTCAAGGATTGAGCTCATGATCACCACTCTAGAGAACGAAAAAGACAATGTAAACATCTTGAGAAGGCAAAACTCACTGGAGAAGATAGACAGGGAAAATCGAAGACAGAAGAAGAAAAGGAAAACCCAATATGAGGTGGACTGACTCCATAAAGGAAGCCACAGCCTTGAATTTGCCGGCTGGCTCAAAAACAGAACATTTTACAGGGCATTCATTCATGGGGTTGCCATAAGTTGGATATGATTTGACAGCACACAACAAGAACTAATCCTTCTTACATAGCAAGGCTGCATTGGGTGCTGCCATATGCCAAGTAATTCCTGCAAAAGTAGAACAAGACTCTTAGAAGATTACAGTCTACAACATTTGCAATAACAAAGGAAAGTCCAGCCGTATCTCATTTCCAGATGTAGCAGACAGGGATTTAAGATGGGTGGTCCAATGGAAACCCTGCTCAACACCTCACAGGTTGTGTTATCCATGAATCATCAAATCTTTTTTCCACAACAGAATATCTGGACCATTATCTTTGTTTTTTGGGGTGCTGAATTCAGTCCTTTCTATGTGAAGTGTTATGTTTGGGTCTGTTATATTCACTTAAGCAGAAGATGCACAGGGTAGAGGAGAATACCAGACACAGCTTTTGCTCTACATTTTAAACCCTTCATTTAGCATGATGGTGCATACCTGGGCACACCACATGACTGCTGCTCACCTTTCACTGTAGAACTGCAGGGTATTTTCACCATACAGGGGCGTTCCCAACTGCCGGATCATCTGCAGGGACTTGTCCCGCTCGTCCAAGCCCAGCATGCGGACGTGGGCCACAAGCCAAGCCACGGCGCAGACTGCCATGCTGCACACTTTCCCCTTGATGTTATCTGTGATTTTCTTGGAGGGAGGGGGGAGGAGACAAGAAAGCAGTTAAGACTTTAGTGCAAAAGGTACATGAGGTAAAACAGGGAGGACACAACCTCAATCAAAGCAAATCTTCTGCAGGAAGAAATGGACTGCTGGAAGCTTAGCAAAGTATGTCTACCTGCTTAATTCGGAGTATGTCAGGCTCTTCAACATTACAGTTGACTTCTGTAACGTGCTCTACGTGGGGCTACCCTTGAAGACGGTCCGGATACTTCAATTGGTTCAAAATAGAGCTGCCAGGCTGCTGACGGGGACTGGGCGTTATGTTCACATGACTCCAGTCCTCCGTCAGCTTCACTGGCTTCCTATTGAAGTCCGGGCCCAATTCAAGGTGTCGGTGATGACCTATAAAGCCCTAAACAGCTTGGGTCCTGGTTACCTGAAGGAGCGCTTACATCCATATACGCCCGCCCACTCCCTGAGATCTGCGGGAGAGGCCCTTCTCCGGGAACCCTCCATGAAGGAAATTAGGAGGGTAGGTACTCGGAGGAGGGCTTTCTCTGCGGTGGCGCCCAATCTATGGAATGCACTCCCCAGAGAGGTCCGCCTGGCGCTGTCGTTGTTTTTCGGCGCCAGGCGAAGACCTTTTTATTTAAACGTCATTTTAATTGTTAATATTATCTGCTTATTTTTCTGGCCAGGGCGACTTATTTTATATTGTTAATTTGTTATATATTGGAATGTTTTATATTTTAATTTAATGCTGTGAGCCGCCCCGAGGCTTCGGCGAATGGGGCGGCATAGAAATGTTTTAAATAAATAAATAAAATAAATACAGTGGGGCATGAGACACTGCAAAGAAAGAGCCGTTGAAATTCTCCAGCAATACCATGTGGAGCCACCAGAAGGCCTCCTGCTCTCGGTCAATTTCCCTTGCCGCTTCACCCGTTCCCTATTGCTCCTCCTCACGCCCGAAATTCACTCCAAGAACCCCTTACTGGTATCACAGCTCCCCTTTACTTCCTTCAATACCTAGCACAAGAGCCACTTCTGTACTGGAGACTCTGACTTATCATCTCAGTCCTTGCTCCCAAATGAAAATAAAGCCTGACAATAAATGTAAAAAAAGAACAAGACCAGCAAGTAAAAACTGTTGGGATGTTCTGCATGTTTAGAAGATGTTGTATATGGGAACGCATTTAAGCTGATTCCACAAAGGAAAAGAAAGTTGGTGAATGTATGGAATTTAGTGTTAAATTGTAATTTCTCTGTTGACATCCATCTGGTACATAAATTCAGATAAAGATAGCAATTAATATTTTAAATTTGAGGTGCAACTTGATAGCCATACTTTGATTATTTTTATTGTGACATTTCAAGAAAATAAAGGAATGAAATAGCTATATACACGTAAATACCTCCATTTCAGTTCATATACATGAAATTGTATTACAAAAATGTAATAGATGGATAGATATGAATGCAGAATTGTATGTAAATGACCACAAAAGCAATACAAGCATGATAACCATATAATTATAATTGTTTGGATTATTTTGTGTATAACTGTGTTTATTCACTTTTCCCCTTTATTACTCCGGTCTTCCCTCTCCGCCCATCCCTGTACTGTGACCCTATCCTCCCATGCTCTAAAACTAAGGCTGTAACCTGTCTTTTGCTTAAACAATAAACAAACATTTAATAAACATTTGTAAAAACATTTTTATAACACATGAATCAGAAGAAACATATTGCACAGCTCAAAAACATATTTCCAACATTCAGAATATTGGCAAGTTTGATGAAATGTATCATCTCATTTGCTCTTTATTTTTCTTATAGGATTGATATGGCTACTCAGACAGTTGACTTGAAAAGGGATGTTTCCTTCTACTCTCAGAGATGCTTTGGGTACCAGCTATCCTGTCTTAAGCTTGTGCTGACAGAGACACCTCGTCACAAACACACCTCAAGAGGATCATTTGGTGCTGCTGTTGCTGGACAGTACCATTTTAGTCTGCAGGTTGGGGAGCTCATGTTTGGATACCTTCCTGCCTATTTAACAGAAACATCAGTACTGAGGAAAAGGCACATGGGAGAGAGAATGCGAAGTTAAACAATTTATACTACATGTGCTCATTTTTAGCATGCAAGATGATGAGGGGAGGCTATACAAGAAGAGGCAGTCAAACAGGTAACCTTCCACCTGCCATACAGATCAGTACTAGTTGTACCACATGGATCTTCTGACTGGGTGCTTCATTCTGAATGTCTCCAGCTTTTAAAAGGTAATAATGATGAATCTTTTAGTGTTTGCAGCTTCACTGGAAAAGGTAGCTCCTTGGCATTACCTGGACAGATTCAAAGGTGAGAACCCCATTCTCCCAGGCATTCAAGATCTCCAAGATGGCAGCAGAGATGCTCAGACATGCTTCTTGCCACTTCATCTGCCTAACCATTTGCAGAAATATATGGGGAAACAATGAATCAAAAATATGGTCGGTAACATAGGGAATAATTAGGCATTTTATCTCCCTATTTCCAATCTAAATCTAAAATTTCTTGAGTATGGGAGGAAGATGATAGTCGGAACTAAGCTACATTCATGTGAATTGACAAGCACTTAGCTTAGTACCAGATGCCAATTTAATTGTCACTTTTCTTTCCCTTTTTTCCTAAGCAATTTCTAGCCTCTTTCTTAATAGCGAATTAACAATGTCTGGTGAAAACTGCGGGCTGGATAAGATTTCCAAGTGTTAGAGGGAAGGGTTCCAGGGTCCCCTCCATGCAAGTAAGCAAAAGAAGAATTTCTGCACAATGTGTTTGTTTACTTTATATAATGTTACAGTTTTCCATTTTCTGGACACAACAATCACATCATGTTGGTGCAGCTTGCTATATTTTCACCCATAAGGACTGGACATCCACTTAAAGAAACTGAAAGTCAAGGGTTTTAGGAAACCATGCCATCCTGTGGTATATACAGGGAAGACAGAGCAGGCCTGAGGCATAAGAGATAAATAACTTGCCCCCTTTCTTGAATTTTATTTATAGAATTTATGTTCCACCTTTCTACTAAAAATAGTATTCAGCATTAATCAACCTTTAATGTGCTTTTTAAAGACAGTGGTCCCTCAGTTAAAGCTTCATGATGCCCTTAATACTTACACCAGCTTCATTTCAGAGGAATTGTTGAGCAGAGCAACTAGTGATTCCACCTTGGTGGAATCAGGCCGGAAGCAAGGGTGGTCAGGATTGAGGATCTTTCCTTCTTCTGGCATGCAGGTTTGCATCCAGGTCTCAAAGAAAGGGACCTCCCCAGGAGGGCTAGATTCCGAAAGGATTACCTGGAAGACCAATGGCCAAGAATAAAACATCAGGCAATTTTAGACTAATGCAACAGCGCCTCTTAGTGAGTTACTGGATCATTACACAGTAATTGCGAAAGCACGGTTGAATAAGCTCTGGAAAAGAAAATGATGTCTCAAGACTCAGCAACGCAGGTGGGTCTCCCCAAATGCCACAATTTGTTAGGGCATTTCTGGAATGAAAGACATTTGGCAAATATGCTATTTTCTGATATGTTGGTCTAGAAAAGTTGGATCACTGAGGATTTTATTGCATGTAATGCTTCCTATATTTGTACTTGTTCCATTACAGTACATATGTATGAGTAATATGTGTGTGTGTTTATTACATTTTATACTGCCCAATAGCCAAAGTGCTCTGGGTGGTTTTTCATGCTGTATTTTGTACTATATTTTATGTTTAAATTATACAGATAGTACAAAATACAGTATCAAAATGGGTAAAAGACTTGTTCAAAGCCACATGGCAAGGCCATGCCAGAGGAAAGATTTGAACCTAGTTCTCCAGCATTTCCTCAATTACATTTGCTCTGTCTTCCCTATCATAAAATTCCAAGGTGGCACATCTAGACAGGTGCTTCCTTCCACAACCATCAGTCTAAAAAGAGTCTCATCCCAATCTGATGTTCATGAGTGTCAGGTGTCTGGCATTCTTGTTACCTGAAAAGTCTTCATTTTTAACTACTTGGAGGCAGGGGAGGGCAACAGCTCAAAGTCAGTCCCTTTGCTTTGTGTGGAGAAGGCCTGGATTCAAGTGGGCAATTCAATTGTGGTATATAGCAATATATAACAATGCTGACTTGCTTTACAGGGTTGTTGTAAGGACTTCCAGATAATGCATGTGAGGTGCTTTGAACACTTAGAATTTTTATGCAAATGTTTATTAGTATATTATTCCTCTTATTACTACCACATGCCCCCTCCATTGCCACGGATTTCATGTAGCAGGGCTGGATTAGGAAATCGTCAGCCTAAGATACAGGCAGCACTGGGACAGATGAATCACTGAACTAAGGCAGCTCTGCTTGGCTCTTCTTTTCTATTTTATCTGGGTCTTCCTGCACATCATTTTCTGCTAAAGCGGTGACTCCCTCTCTCCTTTTGCTTCCTGATGGATACTGACAGCCAACACAAGTGGGTGATGTCCTGTTACTTAGAAGAGGATGAGCTCTCTACTCAAGATGCATTAGTGAAGAGGGTAAGAACAACTCATACTAGTTTCCACTGCCTACTTTCAGTGGGAAGCCAAACTATGCATTGGTGGCATATTATGTGATGTGTTGATTTTTAGAAAATGCTTATATAGCACCCCTTAAGCAAGACTCACCACAAGACTGCCTGCTAGCAAATGAAAAATACAGACTTTTTTCATAATTGGAGGGAAGAGTGGTGAGGCGCAAAGATTTACTCCCTCTATTTACATGTCTAAGCATCAGCAAAGTCACCACTCTCTCTTCCTCTACCCTGTAATACAGTGGCCGTGAAAGGCTTACCTCAGAGCCATAGGTCTGGGCGACATGACACAGCATGAGGAAAGAGATGTCGAAGAGAAGCGCTCTGACCGAAGCTGCTTTAGCTGGGCATGGTGGGGGAGGAGAACCCAGTTTAATTAGTTCAAATAACAAAAGGGGAAAAGTGTCGTTTTTAATTATGACCATTAGAAATGGCTGACGTGCATGAAGCATGCCGTGGTGGCACTGCAACCAACTGCTTTGTGTGTTTGGTTTTTTCCAAGCCAGGGTTTTGCATTGGTAACCCCAATGCAACAAGAAAAGTTACTTTCTGGAACTCGAGGTCCCAGTCAGGCAAACATTTCTGGGCAGCCACTGGGCATGTCTCATTCTGGGCATGTCTCATTCTGCTCTCCCTTTCACCCTCACCCCACTCCTGTCTCTGTAGTTTAGTCCAAAGCCTGCATCTACCTACATCTTTTATTGTCCGTCTAGTAATTATGGTAAGTTCCAGGTGACAGACTAATGTATACCATTAAAAGTTCCACTTTTAATGGTATACATTAAAGAGGAAATCCTTCTCAGGAAAGTACCCTAAACCTCTAAAGAAATAATTAAGAAAAAAGAACTCTCAGCTGCTGGGAGCTCCGTTTGCCATTTGTCCAGTGGAAGGTCAGAGGGTCTTTGTGTGTTTAATCATATGCCACACATGTTTTCAGAATCCTTATCTTGGGGTGAGTGGGATTCAAACATCACTCCATCCAAAGGACTCGAGTCATATGGGAGCTCCAAGGTTAAGAACTGCTTTGGGAAAGAAAGTTGTGCAGGGTGGGGAAGGGGAGGGTGGAGGGAAAAGCGAAGCCGGAGAGCAGGCTCACAGCTGCAAGTTAACTGTTTTCTTCCCAGCATCAAGATCCCCACCCAAAAGCACAAAGTAACTATTCTCAGGGGGAGAATGGAGGATGCACATGGCAACCAAAAAGACAAAGAGACCCCAGTAATAACTTGAATGCCCCCCTTGTTGCATTAGGAATGCAGTGCTAGTGCTGCCTACGCTGCCAGGCACCATGGCTCACTTTCAACGCTTCTTCACAACCCCCCACCTTCTAGTTAACCCATTAAACCCTGCAGCCCCCTGCAAAAGAACAGGAGGAGAAGGCAAAAGAAACGAGAGGGACTTACAGCCTTCATCCCTGATATGCTTGGTGAATTCATTCAACCTAAAATGAGAAGATAATGAACATTTTTAAATGGTTTAAACGACCTGCCCCCATTTTTAAAAAAAATATTAATTTTGATTCATTTCAGTGTGCAACATTTAAGGAAATTTAAAAAATCATTTAAGTCATAAATAAAAGTCGTAACTAATTTAATTAAATTAATTCCATTTTACAGTTGAGGGAAAAACAAAAACCAAGGGGAGCAGTTTGCCTAGACTGAATATTCAGCTCAGGTAGTACCTGAAGCCATCCTCAGCAGTCTTTGCAGCAGTCCACAACAGACAAAACCTTCCTAGCTTATCCCTGCTTCCATCCCTCCTCTCATAATTTGCTTTCACCATATCACACCTGTTTTTAGTTCAGGCCTTCCTGCATAACCACAGTCACCCAGGTGTGATTCACCCCCTTCCTCTGTTGGCTTCTGTAAAAGGAGCATGTGAAGGTTCCAGGCAAGCCGTTTAACATGCAGTGCTACAATATTGCCAGATCTTCAAGCAGCCACATACAATTGCATTCTGATACAGAAGCATGATGCAAGCTCAGTGTGAGCTGCAAAGTCTCCAGATCAAATCACAACTGCAGCAGTAACATATCATTGCTGTACCACCTTTCATAGTAGGCAACTAGACAGATCACCACACACGGCCCACAAACTTTCAGCTTCATACAGGATACCAAATTGTGCATTAACTAGTGTATGGCACAACTGCACAGCATCCTGTGCAGAACACCAACTGCTGTAACTCTACTACAGCACTGCGTCTCACATGCATGTAACCCGTATGGAAGAGTAGAATGGTTTTGATTTAGACTAGAGTCTTGTGACAGGCATACACTATCACATGGCTTCAGAACCACTCCAGCACCCCCCAGTTCTCTTTTCTAGCTGGAAAGCCAAAAAGAGGCTTGATTTACTCAAGAACACCATGTCATGGGTATGCTTGTAAACAGCCATTTGTGGAAGGTTTAATAGTCCTGTAAGTGGCTATCTAACAGCCCCTTCAGCAAAGCAAAGACAAAATGGGTTGGAAAAGTTGCAGGCAGCCTCAGATGCACTTAAGAGAGGTGTGGGGGAGATTAATGGTGATGCAGGAGTTGCTCTCTCTTGGGCAGAAATGAGAGATGCACACAAGTCTATGGCTAACAATTATTTAGTATCTGTGTTCTATTAGCACTATATAGAAGGGCTTATAGTGTTCAAGGTTTGGCTCGAAGGCTGGAACTAAATGATAGGGGAACCAGCTGACTGTTAACAAAAGTAGCAGCTCCAAGGTATATCCAGTGTGGTACATGTACCAATGTACCACACTGACACAATAGCACAAATAACACTATCGGCATTTCGTTGTAGCAGTTTATCCTACGGCAATGTAATTTATGTTACATGCTGCCTACTGTTGGATGCTGAGCCCTGAATCCTGCCTTCCCACCCAAGGTCTTAATACACTGAATTCAAACAACCTGTGGTGACTTTTCTTGACCCACTCCACTTCATTGACTGTCACTTACAGGAACAAAGAAACGGACTAAGTTTTGCCTAGAGCAGCAGTCACATGGTTCTTGTCATGTTTAGGGCCAGCATATATTATTTCTGAGGTCATAACTTACTGGCTATGTTCAAATAATCAAATTGTGGCTTAATGCACAAACCACCTTCTCTCTCAGTACACGACCCTCTTCATTCATGCCAACAAGCAAAGCAGGTAGCTTCAGTTGACCATACCTTCCATGTACATCCAGACTGGGAACCATGGCTAACAGCTTCCAAACAAAGCATTGTTCAGCGGTCACACTGAAACCATGGCTTCATATCCTGGTTTGTTTGGAAAGCCATTAACCATCATGTCACAGTTTGGCTACAACAGGAAATTACTGTTAATAGCAGATTGCTTGCATGAAGTGGGAGTGAAGGTGTGGTGTGTCAAAACTCAAATGCAACCTAGTTTAAGCTAGCTTTCGATGATCCACATCTAGCCACTCCCACAATTTCAGTTCTCCAACTATGAAACGGAAATATTAATAACCAGCCTCATGGTAATACCTCTGGTAACGGAGGCAGTATGCCTGTCAATGCCAGCTGCTGTGGAACACAAACAAAACGTACTATTGCCTTCACGTCTGCTTGTTCACTTCAGCAGGCATCTACTTGGCCACCAGAGGAATAAAATGCTGCACCAGAAAGGCCTTTCATCAGATTGTTATGGAATGTGGAAGAGGGAAACAAGCGATGGATGCAAGAACACCACCACATTCCTTTGAACATGATACTGCTATTTAAATAATTACGAATGACCAAACATGCTTGACTTCAGCACTTCCAGTTGTCTGCACTAGCTCCCTACTGACCTATGCCTGAAAGACAAAGTACTGTTTTTGACCTCTATACATCTTAAGTCCTACACCAGGGCTGCAGGTGTCTTCCAGCCCACTCAGCCAATGTATGCCCAACTATATTTTTGTATTTTAGCCTTTGCTAAACGATCTTGCAAGCCCCTTTTGAATGCCATCAGCACAATATTCCATTCCCCAAGTTGTGGAAGCCTTTTCTTTAAGAAACAAAAATCCAGTCAATTGTGCTCTCAACTACTTGGTGTGGAAGAGCACACAACAGTGATTAAGTACTTTGGGGGGGGGGTCCTACAATTTCTTACGTTAGTGAGAACAAGCACCTAAATCTGAAAAGTGATAGGGATCAATCACATATACATGCACACTCACTTGATAAATTTCCGAGCAAAGGATTTCAGCTTTCCTGTAGCTGCTGCAGCTGCCAACAACAGATCCAAGCTCTTCCCAGAAAGCATATGTCCCAAAACACCCAGCAGCCCTTCTGGGGATTTTGAGTGGTCTGAATCCATTGTCTGATAGTGAAGAAATAAAATCAGAGGAAATGTAGCAGGGGAAGGTACCTGATTAGTAGCCAGCAGCATGCAAACCATAGATTTGTATAAAGGGAAGTCAGTTCCTAGATCCTTAACAACATGGCCATGAAGATCCATAACCACTTTGGAAGCAAATCATCCAGTATCCAACACAAAGCATTTATTGTTTTTTCCCCCAGAGAAATTACACTCTGGAATCAGACATTCTGGGGGCCAGTTCTGTTTTACTTTTGCCTATACCCTGAATCATTCACTATTTAGTATCTGCTTCTACCTCTCCATGCTTCATTCTTAAGGTCTGGTGACCATATTTAGGGGCATCTGGCTGGTAGCACACTTGGGTCTAGAGTTTATGTCAGTTAATCAATGGAAAACTGATGCATCTATCGTGCCTGCGGGCAGAAGGGTGCATCTAATGACCTTGTGAGCCTTTTAATCTCTACCCTATCCTGGAAATAGCTGATCCATACTCCCCTGCAGACACTTCATACATTCTGCTTCAAACTGAATAACGAGACGGCAAATTATAGTCATGCATATGTGAATCAATCCTTTGAATTAACAGAAGGAGAAAATATCTGGATTGCTAAGAGGAAAATGAAGATTTTGTCCAATACTGGAAACAGTATTAGGACAGAAATATGTTGCTGGTTCCATTCAGATATCATTCAGGAAGCTTAACTATGGTTTGCCATGATGCCTGAATTCAAGCCATCCTTTTCAATTAGCTAGAAAACCAAAATTAGAAATAGCCATTTCAATTCGGTTTGCAGACTAGGTTTTGTGTCAAGCTATTTGGCGTAATATCTTAATGGGTAAACCAGAAGAGGTTGCAACACGGAAATAATAGTTAATTTATAAAACTGACTGCTAAGAGGATAAAAAACAAAAAAGCAGACAAGTGGCTCTGAACTGATTTGCCTGAACATTTGGAATCAGATAAATCATGTTTTGGAGCAAGCACAGCCTTCTGATATTAGTTTAAATGACACAAATCTTTGATATTACATTCATTTTCTGTGAATTATGGTTCATAATTACTCAGTTCGTACTATCTATTTCTATTTTTTTCTCAGCTAGTTATTGGAAAGCCAACAAAATCTCTTAACAGTCACAATCCTCAGGATATCACAAAGCCAAATTGATACTGTCACTTTCAGGAAGTACTGGTAACTGCAAATTTACTCTTCGAAATGGGAAGTCAAGTTTCAAATCAAGCCACAGACAAGGCATTTTTCTCCACTGCAATCCAATGCATGTGAAAACACAGACAGAAAAATGTACTACAGTTCCCAGTATCCCAGCTGGGCTGTGGTGGAACTTACAGGACTTTTTCCTCTGTAAACATGCATAGGACTGCTCTCTTACTCTCACAATTCCGTGAGGAAAAACATGGCCCTGATCTTCCTGCAGGAAGGACAATGCTAAACATAATTCTTTACAAAAAAAATAGAAGGCATGCCTATGCTGACATAAACTTCACTGAGTTCAATGGACCTTGCTTCCACATAAGTGTGTATAGAACTGAAGCCTTAACAGCATTAAAATATAAACATTCTGTACCAAAGTAAACTATTTTCTATGCCTAGCATGTCATGCCAGAAAAAGACCTACTTTTAAAATATTGGTGACTGTAGGCTCTGCTCGCAGGATGAGGCCTGGGTTGGGCTGAATGTTAGCATTCTCAGCAGACTTTAAACGTGGGGCATGTTCTCGGTCAGCAGTCCTGGGTGAGGTGAAAAGAAAAAATACCCAATGGTGCACTCAGAACGTAGAGAAATCCTTAATGGAACTATAACATGCTGTGATAAAGTTACAAATTTCTTAGGTGTTGGTTCTTAGCACCAAGGCCAAGCTAATTTGCATATCTTTTGGTTCTTTCATAATCTCAAGCTTCATCTTAAATCAAAACAAGATTTCTGGTCCCTGTGGGAATAGGGAAAATAACCAGCTTATCAAATGGTAAGGTTTTCTTCCATGGCTTTGTTTGGTCATCTTTATTAATAAAAATGTAGTTCTTCCCTTCCACACACTCGAATGTGTGATATTTGTTGAGCTTACCCTGTGGTTAATTTCCCCCATTTACTACTTAATAAGCTGGTTATCTATGGAAAGGACATGGGGAAGATATTCCACAGCTAGCAAGCTGCCCAGCTAAAACTTTCTTTTAAAAAGTAGTTTTGTCTCTCCCGCTATTTTCAAATGTTAAGTGTTCAGAAATCTTTTCCAAGAACTGTTTAGAATTTTAAAATATTTAAATGAGTGTAGATTTTCTGATAGCAATACCTTTTAATATATAAATAAAACCCTACTTTTTCCTGAAATACATTGGCCAGAAACAGAAAGGAAGTAAAACTGTAATCTCTAGAATTTGGTGCATGTTGTGTGACAAGGGGATGGCGTGATGGTGGGAAATATTTGCATAATCCAGGTTTTAAACTGTGGAATTAAATGCAGTAGGCATAAAAAGTGGCTAACAAATTCACAAGCTTAAAACAATGCAATCTCCTTTCTTAAAAACTGAGAGCACTCCTCTGTAGTGAGGGGGAGAGATTTTATTGACCTCTCTGAAACATTCGTAGTATGATCACTTTTTAGGGTTGTGAGAGCACATTGATTTTCCACTGCCTTAAATAAGAAACCCAGAAGGGTTGACAGAACACTGCAGCAAAGCATGCTTTGCCTCACTCAGAAGTGAACAAATCAGTACTTGAGTGGAGCAACAGGACTAGTCAACATCATCTGTACTGTTACGTTTTAGAACACGTTTAAGAAACAGGCAAACGTCCACACATTTAGACTTCATAAATTGGTAGTATGCATTGATTGACAACTATAGAGAAACTAGGAGAAAAATGGTTACTGGCTGAACTAAAGGGGAGTCTCAAGCTGCCGTCAAAGCAGCTAACTACTTTCTCTCCCATTCTCCTTAAATGTGAGACCAAAACTTCACAAAGTTTTTGAGCAAGGCCTGAACACAGCCTGCAGCAACTACCATAGACTTCCCCCACGCACCCAGCTCCTGCCTTTTTCATGCAAAGCTAACTAAGCGTACCTTTTAGCTATGAGATTGTTCATGTTGGCTTCAGAAAGCAGACCCTGTTTGCTACACTCCTGAAGGAGGAGGCTTGTGCAGTCGCAGCTGGAACAACAAGAGAAAAACGTTAGGTACAAATTTACATATATATACACACACACACAAAGATAGATAATAGGGGAAAGAATTACTTTATTGGGCATACAGGGAAAGAACACTAGATGGCACATAGTGAGTTAAGGAGATGATCATGAATATTCATACCCAAAAACAAAAGAAAAGTGTATGGCTAGGAATCTAGACATGTACAAGAAACCTTTTAAAACTTCTTTCATTAAGTGGATATTTGAATTCCCAGGAAAGTTTGTACAACATGAAAACCGACCCCACAAATAAGCTGCATAGTGTGGGTTTTTTGTGGAGCAACCCACAAAACACCTGACATACAATTTGGTTCACAGTGGCTTGTTATCTCACTCCATTCTCCAGCTGCTATCCTGGTGTCCTTCACAGCACAATCCATCTTCTCTCCCTCCCATCCCCACTGATTGTGACACCTTTTTGTTCACCTCTGTGCACTCACATCTCATCACGCTGTGAGCCCTTGATAGCTGAAACTGACATGGGCATTTACCAGGCCCTACATATATTAGAAGGAAGCAAAAGTGCACTTGTGCAACTGTGAAATACCATTTTTAAAGGACATTTGCTCAAAACATTTCTGGACCTGAAATATTTTTTAAAGGTAGCAAACCAGCACTGGCACTTGGCCACAGATGAAGGGATTGGCATTGGCTGCCACTGGTCAGATTATGAAGAGTGGCAGGGAGGTTCGCCACTCTTGCTGAGTAGCCTGCTAGCCAACCCTGATCACCTGTGATGAAAATGATGCACTGACTTCAATGAATGACAAACCATTTGTAGGCCAAACAAGCTGTAGAACAAGGATGCAGGAAGTAGTCTGGGTTCAGATGACGCAACAACTCACCATTGCTAGTTAATCGTGATAGGCTGCTATATCATGCAAACTTAGTCCCCACGGTCCTACAGCTATGCATTAAGTCATTTATTGACTGTTTACAATATTGTCACTTTACATTGATTGCTCTTATTTATGCAGGAAGTCACCCTGAGCCTTGGAAAATACATTTGAAGCACATTCTGAGTCTTTATGGCTATAGGAAAAATGCAAACTTAGATAGAGCACTCTCATGATCAAGGAGGAAGAAATAAATTTTGGCAGCATATTCCTTACCCCAGCCTGCCCCACACGCATGCTGGCTGAATGACTGATGGATTTCCAGAGCACAGAGTACCCACTGGGCCCACTCAACCAGGCCAAGGCAGATTGGTGCTGTAGTAACAAGGAGACCAGAACCAAAGCTAGGCCGACCAGTTTGCACAACCCAACAAGCTGCACTGCAAGGATAATCATGCAGATCCCCCTGGCTTGCCCTCCCTGATAATGTGAACCAGGTCACTGTATGAGTAATAACTGTTATAGGTTCAGAAAGTCAGGACACATCTTTGTGGTTCAGTTGGCATAGCTGCGTGCTCCAAATGTTCTTACGGACACCCATTAAAAAAGTGTTCAGCCAGTTCTGGACAGGGATGAACTCTCCTTAAAGCAGAGGTGGCTAACCTCTCCGGCCTGCAGAGGTTCCACATCCAGCCTGTGGAGGCTTGGGCTCATCCCCAAGCCCCTGCCTCATAGAGGCTAGCAGAAAAAAGAATCCCCCCTTTATTTCCGGTCATGATCACAGCGAAAATTCCTCTTAGCACGCCGTACATGCTCCCCTATGAGTGACCAGGTAGGTTTTGCCTACCCACAATGAAGGCAGGTAGAGATATGGTGGGTTCACATGACAATATAAGGCACCCTACACCCAACTGCACTTGATAGACAGCTTTTTTTCCTCTTTTAGTCCCCCACCCCCCAGCCACACCCCGACACTGCAAAAGGTGGGTGTGGAGCAACCTTTTCCAATCCCCGTTTTGGCAGCTCCAAGCAGTCTCTCCGAGGTGCTCCAAGAGTATCTTGGAAGGGCTTACCTGTAGTTGCCCACCTTCAAGTTTCTGGCTTATAAGCCTATGCCCCAAAAGTATTATTTTTAAAGAATTTTGTACACAGAACTAGGAAGCCCCATTGCAAGAGCAGCAAAATATCCTTGCCATGAGACTCCTAAGCAAGCACCAGTGCCAACCACCTCCAAAGTGCCCAAGAGACACTTGGGGCAGCTGGCACAGGCTCACCTCCTGCAATACCACTGTAAACTGTTTCAGGCTTGCCACAGCTTTATTTCCCTTTTTTGGAAGACTGCAAAAGCTGACTGTCCATCTGTTACAGCATTCTGTTCAGACAGCGGCCAACCAGCTGCCCATGGGAAGCCCACAAGCAGGACTTAAGCAGGAAAACACTTTCCTCCTGCTGTTTTGTTATTTTAAAGATGCATTGCATTTGTTTTATTTTTATTTATTGTTTAGTTATCCTGGGAATACTGGTATTGAAAGATGTTGTATATTTTTTCCCTCCTTCCCCAGCTGCCTGAAGCCAGAAATAACTGGCACAGGTATGTGTGAGCAAGGTAGGCTAATAAACTTTTTTGAAAACAAGTTTCTTATGAAAATATGCTTGAAAATGAATTGTGACCTCTCAGACCATCTCCATCCCTATGTTCTCCTGTGATACTCTAATGAAAGGTGCTCCATTATAGCAAGAGATTGCATATAACATGGTAAAATGCACAGAGCCTGCATTTGCTCAGGAATGATGTACCTTCTCACCTCCCTGCCGATCAACAGTAAACGTGTAAAGGACTTTGAAGAAGGGCTTTTAGCAGTTGATAGGGGAAGGTATGCCCAAGGTCAAGTACAAGTGTCTGTATCACATTTGTATCCCTGCTGTTCTTCCAAGGGTAACTAACATGGGGTTATGCCACTTCAACCACACACAAACCCTGTGTGCCGATTATAATTGGGATACAGGGTGCATTAACCCACCATGTAAAACCAGCCTGGAAACAAGCAATGGTGGGTTGCTTGTTGGCAAAATGCCCCATGGTGAGCCTCACAGATGATCAGTCTCACTGTGGTTTGGTGGCCCCTTCTCCCCTCTTCCCCTCTCCGTTTTCCTGCATGCATGCTAGGTGACACAAGCTGACTCCCCTTCTAGCTGGACAATGGGTGGGAATTTGAGACATATATCTCCTAGTCAAAAAACACCCAGTGGCTCATCAAAATCCCCTTTTTAAAGGCACCCAGAGTTTTGACATGTGACTTTCTAAATTCATTTTCCCTAGAGAAAGGGAGCAGCACACTTTTGCACCTTCCTGTGCACCAGAGGTTGGGTGAAAAGTGCTAAATGTACACCAATGTGTATCAGGGAAGAAAGGAAAATATAAGGATTGTGTCACAAGGGGAGTGTAAAGTGCAAAACACTCTCTTTTTGCATTCAAAACCTCCTGGCGGGGGAGCAAGGAAATGAATACTGGTCCTCCCAAGTGAAACGAATTTGGGTACTCCAAGTACAGGACTTCATCCACTAAAACAGCCCCTATAAATTCTGTGGCTTGACCCAGTTATGCAAACAAAATGCATTTGCATGTGTGCTTCAGTGTTTTCAATAATACATTCTGTTTCTACTAGTCATAGGAGAGAGAGACCTTAACAACTGGAAATTGTGCAAAGACTCTTCTGGGCTTCCGCATTTTCAAGGCTATTTTTGCAACCCATACAAGAAGATCACAGCAACATGGAATACACATAATCCAGGAGGTGCCCTTCCACCCCAGAGCTCCGTGAAAACTGTATTATCATCTATTAAACACAGAGTACATCCAGCCCTTCCTAAGTGATTAAGCATAAGAAAGAACTACCCAGACCTGTGCTTATGTCTCTGTGACAGAACAAAGTGTTCAGAGTTAGGCACAAGAAAATTGGATCCAGCTAATTCAAAATACTATTTTATGCAATAGCAATGGAGTCCGCTTAGCATATTGGGGAGCTTGGGTCTTAATCATTCATGCAGAACAAACAGTTCTAGTTGTCACGCCAAGCAGGACACTTGCACTCGATGGACACTGTTCACTGTTTGCCCTTCCCCAGTTGTAATAACCTGTGGTAATCCATCTAGCAGAGGAAAAAAACACATTGCCCATTTGCCATTATAGAAGGTGGAAATGTCTGTTTTTCCATTGCCTGTGCAGGTGAATCTGAGGTGAAATGTGAAGGATCTGGGATTAAGATAACAGAATTTTAACTTCTGCTTAGCAGGTGGCTGGGAGGAAGCAGCCACTTGAGCTACAGGTTATTGGTAAGGATCCCCTTCTTTGGGTGCCGTAAAACATGCTGATGCAGGAGAAATATCAGGTTCTCTCTGTGATGGTTTCAATGCTATGAAATGCTCCAGTTACTGAAGCCCACCTTAAGCACAACCCAGTTTGGATGCCGGTAGCTGTCTGAGCTCCCAGGAGTATACCTGTCCTGTGCTGGTGATGTTGGGGTGGGTGGGGCGGCACGAGGCACTCAAGAGGCATTTCCAAAGTCAGTGCTGGGTCTCCAAAATCTCCTATGGCTTTCTAGATGCAGGCTAGCAGCCTCAGAATTGCACTGTTAGCCTGTTCCTGTAGGTTTCTGGAAAAACTGTGAAAACTCATCATTTTGAAAGGCTTTCTAGAAGAGCCTGAGTTTGGCTTGAAATTACCAATCTTTGATGATCAAAAAGTGGGGGGGGGGGGTGCGCGTATAAAAACCACATGTCAAGTAATCAATTCCCCAATGGATGTTTCAACATTTTTTAAATGGTGAGACAGGTACTAAATTTACCAAGATACCGTGTTTCAATGTGAAATATAGAGTTCAATCCATCTCTCTTTAGATGTGCACAACGGAACTGAGGTGCCCCACATGTCCCTAATTTGTGACAGTTTCTCATGCATAAAACTTTGTTTTGTGGCTAATACCACTGATACAAAGATCCAATTACTCTTGATAAGATACTTTTCTCTCAGTGCAAGACACTGTTATGTTATGTAAAGCACTGGTTTTCAACCTTTTTACAGCATGGGACTGGCAAAAATAGGAATTTTTTGGTAGGGGAGGAATGCTGAGGCAGAAATAAAAAGCATTATACACATAATATAGTATTTTGTGTATTAGTTTTTAAATAGAATACCAAAAATGATAATTCTCTAAAATAACCAGAAACTGAGCAGTAAAAATGCTAATAAAAATAAAATATTGAAATTAAATGTAATCAAATACAAATGAAATTTTTAGAGAGCAATATTAAATTCCAATAAGGCTTATGTGAAATCTGATACTGCTTCTTTTCAGGAATACTTGATAGTTGTGGATGCAGTGTTGTTTCTGAGAGACAAAGCGCTGCATTGACATCCATTCTGCTTCTCTGTTTGGTTTTTATCAGTGACAGGGCAAAAATACTCTTTTCGCACAAATATGTGGTAGAAAATAGGAGTAGCAATTTAATAGCTCTGTAACTTAGAGACGTACATTTTTTTCCCAGTGATATCCAAAATTGTGACAATGCTTGCATTTTATGTTTGGCCGCCAGAGTGACATCAGAACTCTTTCCTACCTCCTGCTAGGATCAGCTGGGTTCCCCTGGTGATGGCAGCAGCGCTGAGCGAGCAAGAAGAGCAAGCTGAGCGCGAGCTGCTACCCTTATATGCAGCTCTGCGAATGCCACCCCCCCACCAGCGTGCTCAAGCGGCCCCAGGCTGCGCGGCTCTGGCCTTGCGCTGCCTGAGAAGGGAAGCAGCGCAGCATCTCCCAGGCGTTCCTGCTGTAGCTCCTTGTCAGGCGGCACAAGACCAGAGCCAGGCAGTGTGGGGCCACCTGAGCATGCTGAGGGGCGGGTGGCACCAGCGGCATTCTCGGACCTGCAACTCACATTCAGCCCATTTTTCCTGCTTGCTCTGGACTGCTGCCATCACCAGGGGAACTGAGCGGATCGCAGCGGCAGGAGGGAAAGAGCTGGCACGGATCAGTTCCCCCGGCAATGGCAGCAGCCCTGAGTGAGTGGGAAGAGCAGGCTGAGCTCGAGTTGCTGCTCTTACATGCTGCCCTCTGCAGCTCCTCCTCAGGGCTTTTTTGCATGGACCTGAAGGAAATCGCCTGTGGACTAGCACCAGTCCACAGACCAGCAGTTGGAAGCTCTGATGTAAAGGGATCACAGAAGAGCAAAAGTTATGCAACAGAAAAGCAATGGGCACAGTATTTGGTAAGCGGCAGTGTTCAAGACCATAGGATGTCAAGGAAGTGGTCTACTCCTGGCGCAAGCCTCTTTCCACTCATCAGACCAACTCTTGGTTCATCTCAGACTCTGACTGGGCACTGAGACCTTCCAGTTTAGGTAACAACCATGCCGCCTGTCCATCTGTTCCCCCACCCTCCCAACAAGCTGGTTTCCCAGGCTCCATCTGTATGTCAAGCACCTTAACTACTTCTTCAACTATCTAGCTCTGTTCAACTCTGCTACGCATATCTGATGTTGCCATTTTAATCTTGCTTCTTCGCCCACACTGCTCTGCTCCCAGTCACCAACTGGCTTTGTCTCAAAACCAAAACCAATGGAATGTAACCCTGAAACCCAACTTTCATCCTAGACATGCTAGGGTTGCCAAGTTCTCTAAGGCTCCAGTCCTGAGACTCAAGGAGAACAGCTTGGAAACCAAGGTGTGGTGCTCGATAACTATGCTGGGTTTGGGCAGAAAGGCAGGGCATAAACAATATGAATAAATGTATAAGGGAGTGGAAAGTTGTAACAGCAGGGAGGAGTGGGCAACTGGCATTCCAGTGGGTACAGCTTGAAGAGCACAGAGATGAAATCTCTGTCAAATCTATCAAGCCAAGTAGAAAAAAGCCAAGCCAAGATCTATCAAATCTATCAAGCCAAGTAGAAAAAAGCCAAGCCAAGATCTATCAAATCTATCAAGCCAAGTAGAAAAAAGAATGCTCTTTGGTTCGGCTTCCTCAGCTTGAGGGGCCACAGGAAAGGAAACCTACTTGCAGCGCTGATCTGCCTTATCCAGCAGAGGTGTCAGCTTCAGAAGGAACTCAAAGGCACAATTCACATCTTCTGTGAAATCCTGCAAGTGCAAAAGAATACAATATTTTCTTTTATAAATCTTAACAGTCCATGAATTCCACACTGGAAATCCACCTCTCTAAAAAGAGATCACGACAGTGCATCCCAACTGGAAGCTGTGCTCACTGCAATTCCTTATTTTGCATATTTTATACTTTTCATATATTTTTCATTAATGAAGGTAGAAAGCAATTTCTGAGGAACTGGTAAACTCTTTTGCCCCTTTCTATACTGTACAACTTGGCTCACCAAAGGTACTATCTATCCATACTCAGGCAAAAAAATGCTCTACAACTCCCAGCCTCACTGGCTAAAGAATGCTGGGAGTTTCAAGACCTTTTATCTATCTGGACACGCATAAGACTGCATAATTAAAAACTGGACGGTCATCTGAGTGGGATGGTGTAAACTGGTACCCTGCAACAGCAGAGGGTTGGACCCGCTGGCCTTCATGGCCCCTTCCAAATCTACTATTCTATGAATTAATTTAATAAACCACGTTTCTACAGACTCACTCGTGACAAATTGTGTCACTTCCTTCTCATTTCAAGTAGCATAGTGTGGTCTAGGCTGAATTATGCTGGGGGCTAAAACCAGAACAGCAGGTCATAAATTAAGTCATGGAAAGTTCAGCCTTAAGCTTGATCCATTCCCATTTAGCTCTCTCAAAGATCACCATAAATAGCATTTTTTGGATGATGAGGGTTCAGACCCTGCATCCACCATAAATTACTGGACCGTAGACTGCTTTTTTGAATTGAAAGAAAAGCTGCATTTAAGCTAGCATTCAGTCTCTAACTCTGGGCAGTGGCCTAATATTACTGTGAAGCTCACAAATGGAGCATGATGGAGCTAGTGCCATTTTCTCTTTGTCCAGAGAACCTGATAATCAGAGATATTTGTCTCTCTGCATGAAGGTTTCATTCTTAGTAACAACAGACAGTGGCCATTGACAGACCCATTACCTATGAATTTGCCTGACCCTGTAATCTTTAATCTTAGTGCTGTTAAGTGCAAATTTTGCATTATGATGAGTTGTTTCAGGTCTTCTTCCCATATTGCATATTTTAAAAATTAATAGCTTCAAACAGTACAAGCAGCAGCTTACTTTTACCTTTTCTCCTTGGGGATATTTTTTCAGTTTCACCAGTACTTGTGGAATCTGAAAGACAGGAAAATAAAAACATGACAACGAGCCCAAAAAACTATTGCCTCATATATCTAACTGTCCTCACTTCAGTGTCCTCAACTGCACAGGTTCCATTGTCTTTCCACTCCCTTCCTCGTAATTGCGCAATTCTTCTTCCTCCTGGAACCTGTGAGAGTTGCCCTAGCTCTCCTTTCCTGAGCTTCTCCTTCAAGCATTTCCCTACATCCTCCAGCATCAGGTTCCACCTCTTAGCCTACAGACTACAATATCTCTTCATCTGCAAACATCTGCAAACCCTTAGCAATCCTTGCACTCAGCCCTGTTCTACCCAAGTGTCCATTCCCCATTCCTCTTAAGGGTAAGTGACATGACATGGTTCTCTCAGACTAAACTTGATTTTGAGGATAAGTTGTGAAGCACTGCCTATGCCAAATTGTGACAAAAATAATTCAAAAAAGGAATAATTAGGCACCTTTTATCTAATACTTAGGCTACCATGTGGCAAGATGTCCCAGAGGCTAACTGCTCATTATATCATCTGCTTTGTTTTAGAACAGGGTGGGGAATGTGTAAGTCTCTAGATGTTGGTGGAGTGCAACTCCATCAACCCTTCCCAGCACAAATGTGAGAGATGATGGGAGTTGTAGTCCAATACTACCCAGAGCATTACACATTCTGCATCCCTATTCTAGAATGTTCCAACTTTTTCAGGGATATATTTATGTGTGTTTCTGTTTGTCTTTCATACTTCTTAATTTATTCCACTCTGCATGGCTGATTGGTTACATGATGTACTTGGGCTGCAGTGGAGATTTACTGAGCAGGCAAGGAATGCTAAGTTGCAATTTGTTAAGTCTCTTTTGGGGAATCTAGCAGCGTCAGACTGTGTTTACCAAGAAAGCCAGAAAGAAGGAAGACAGAGCCATCTGGCTTATGTTTACATTGCAATGTATACACACACTCACATGCACACACATACATGCACGCACAGAAGTACTTAAATGCAAAGATGACAGCCTAGAAAGAAAGAATGCAAGAGCAGCTTGAGAAAGATTCATGTACAGTTCAGGTCACTACAGTAGTTATGAATGGCACCACAGACCCTCTCAGAGAGCAAATCTGGGCACTTCCATTGATGCAGAGGGGTAAGCTACAATTACAAAAATAACGAATTGCCATGGCAGTGTTTCTTGGGATTCAGTGCCTTTTTATTTTTAAGTTTCTAATTCCTACAATAACCATGAATCCACCCAGTTTCCTATAATCCCCTTCCATTTCTGCTGCTCACCACACTGGGGAATACAATCAGCACCAAAACAAAATTATTAAAGGGCTGAGCCCAGCTGTCTCTCCTTGACAGAGAAACCTAAAAAGCCCCTTACCTTGAGAAAAGTGAAAGCTGTCCATTTCAGCTCATCTGTCCCTTCAGGAGACTCAATCAGGCCTACAAAGCAGGCTTTCCAGATTTCCAGAATGAAAAGTGGGGACGGGATACGCTAAGTAGGGAGAAGAGACACAGCAGAGACAGGCCTAAGGAACTCCCACAGAGCAAATCATTTAGTCTCAGGGTGGTCCAGGCTTCATTATAAGCTGAGCTCATGATCTGCAGCACATCCATGGGTTTATCTAGCAGTCTCATTCCACCATCACCCTATTACTCATACAAAGCACAAACTCCCCCTCATTTCAGGTGCTTCTTGATCATGCAACCAAGCGACCACAAGCTGCAGCTGTGCTCAGTAACCAATGATCACTTCTACTAGTGAGTAAAAATATACCATGAGTGCCTCTGAGCATAGGCAATGCCTTTCTTTTGCCAACCACACCAAATGAAAAAGAAGGTCATGACATAGTTTCCTTACACTTCTCTTTTTAAAAAGTAAAAACCAACCCCACATTCCTTGAAGGTATAATAAGCATAATAAACAACACAAACTTCTTTCACTTCCCAAAACAGTCCCCCAATTTTTGTCCAGCAATTGTTCATAAAACCAACCTCTGCAAAACATTTCCCCAACTTTTTAGCCTCAGCCATATTCTCTGTTCTTTATATCTACCCCACACAGAGCTTTATTTGTGCCTGGGCACAGCCAAACAAGTATCCATTTTTAATACTGGAGGACAAAAGGCCAGGAAACACAGCCTTTCTTTCCAAAGAAGTCTACAACAGGTTTTCCTTGCTTTCTTGCAGCAATTCACCCTCTTCATTTTCTTTTCTGAATAAACCAGCTCTGGAGTAAGGTGGTATTAAGCTTCTGCAGACACAGAAAGTATTTTAAAATGAGCCCAGTTCCCTCTCAGTCAGTCAGTCAGTCAGTGAGTGGATGGCAGAGGCATCAAATAGTAATTTGATGACAACCAAGTTTATCAGCTCAGTGAGGAAGAAAGCTAGCAGTCTGCTGAGAGGAGCTACTAGGGCAAAATAATGTTTCTTCTTGGAGACTGCTTCCCAATTCTGATTAACAGAATTAAACTCATGGTCATTATGGCAACTGCAATGAGGCACTCCTACCAGAAGCTTCCTTATGAACAAAAACTGGAATGCATCTCTTTGTCCACCAGTCCCAGCTTGGTTGAAAGAGGAGGAAACAGCCTTGGTGAAGTCCTGTGGGCTACATCCAGCCCATAAGCATCAGTTGGACAATCCTGATTTATCAGTATTATACTTTCCTCTGGATGCTCCTGCCATTTGAAGTGAGGCAGATTGCAAGTGGAAAGAGGGTTTTCTTAATTGTGATACCTTGCCTATGGCATTCACTCCAACAAAGGTTCATTGGCACTCAATGTTGTGTTCTTTTTGGAGCCAGACATAGTCTTACTGTTCAAAGCTTTAAAAATGTATCTCTTAAGTTCTAACACTACTACTGACTACTATTTTATTGAATGTTAGCTTTTTATTGTACATCATTCTTAATCCTTCTTTAAAAATAAGCTTTTTAAAGCTCTGACCTGAAATTAAAACCTGTTGGCTGACCTGCTCTGGCCAAATGCTGCCAAGACACTTCCCAGATGACCCCCCATCCCCTTTTTAGCCAAAGCTGGATGGCAGAAAAAAGGCTGAAATCTCCACCTGACCTCCCATGGTCTGGACAACCTGCAGATGTAAGTACTGATAAGATAGGTTCATACTGACATGCCACATCTTAAAACAAGAAACTGGCCAACAGTGAGTTCATTAACTACCAATAGCAGCAACCACTGCGTGAGGGAGAAATGTCATGGGAAAACTTAAGCCCTGATTGCCAATCTGCCTGCTGTGTGTTTGGAGATAATTCTTTCCAGAGAAGAGTAACATGGATACATTGTAGATATGCATAGCCAAAAACACAGAAACTTTGCTGGAAGAAGCAAGTATACCGTTTTTCCACCCACGAACTTACAGTAGGAATTGGAAGCCAGCAAGATACAGCTTGTGCAGGTCTCCATCTACTATCATCAATGATCCTAGTCAATCATCCTTTAAATTGTCCTCTTAATTTCATTCTCATTTCCAAAGAACACTACAACAGATGCCCCGTCTAAATTCAGTTCATCACATGGCAAAATTGATGTTGATTGAACTTCTTCACAAGACAAGTGGAGGAGGATATGACTGAATACTCCACCATGTAAACATGGTCTGAGCACAGAAAACTCCATGTCAGGGAGAAGGTTCCTAGCTGAGCCATCCCCTAAGATGCTATGTGCTGGTCGTTTCTCTTCATGACAGTACAGTCCACTTTCAGCCTAGCCTGGAACCATTCTACCATGTGATGAGTTATCTAGCTGAGAGAGAGAGAGAGAGAGAGAGAGAGAGAGAGAGAGAGAGAGAGAG